TTTACAAACACATTTTACAAATAAAAAATGTAAAAAGTCTCACACAACATCGTATAAGAGAACTCACATGGTCCTATATCTAAGCCATTCGTCCTATCCTAATTATAAAGAGTAACAAGACAGTAAATTGTTAAGAAGAAAAATGGCAGAAACATTGGATAACTTATTCCCATTATGTTTAGAGTAAATCTGAGATGGTGGAATTGCCAAACATACAGGTGGAAATTAAATAGAGAGTATATGAATATTTAAACTGAAGCATCGATTGTTCCCTCATTGACATCCCAGACTCGCATCCAGCGCTTTGGACTTGTATATTATGATTGTGGTATCACAAAGGAAATTCACGCAGCCATGCAATGAGCACATAGCGAACTATTCTTTCGCCTTTTACTAAAGAATACCGTGCGCGCCTTGCAATGAATGGCATACGCCAATTTTTGGAGAGGGCTTCTTTTAGAGGACCTCAACCAATTCTATTTTCAAGTTTTGGTGGGATGGACAATAGCAGTTTTTGGTGTGATGGACAATTGTAGTTCGGAGATTATGTTTAAAGTGAATAGATTTTTTGTGTGTATCAATATTTAGCTATGTCTACTTAGTTATTGAGTCATCGTGATTCACATCTTTTCAAATATTCGCTGGGGTATGGGGGGCCCTTGGGATTGTTGAGGTTACTGGAGTGTAATAGAAGGCGGGCTTACCAGAATATAAAGCCCTTGGGATTGTAGAAGGCGGGCTTACCAGAATATAAAGCCCTTGGGATTGTTGAGGTTTCCAGAGTGTAATAGGAGGCGGGCTTACAAGGTAGGAGTGTAATAGGGTATCAGGTAGGAGTGTAATAGGGTTGGAAAATTTGACATCTCTTCACATAGTAATAATGTTGGAAAATTTGACATCTCTTCACGTATTCTAGGCAGTCCATCGGGGCTAGTAATACCCCTGTAACGGGTGGTGGGCGGCGCAGGTACACCTTGGTGAGACACCTCAACAACGGTTGCTGCACACAACGGTGAAAACCTCAACAACGGTTGCTGCACACAACGGTAAAAACATTAAACAGAGTTGTTTTTACAGAAGGGACGGAAAAGGAAATATCATTCACAGTGGGACTCAAACCCACAATCTCCCTCTCCGGAGGCGAGCGCTTTATCCATTAGGCCACGCAAACATCTTATTTGTTGTGTCTTTAATTGTAGGATATAACATGGTTTTAATTTACATCTTTTCTAATGTTTTTTTTAGGCTGGAGTGTAGGGGGGCCATAGAGTTGAGAATTTAATTTTTTGGGAGAAGAAGTTTTGGTGAGATGGTGGTAATTCATGGATGAAACTCAAAGTTAAATCATCCCAACACATTCAATGGTCAATGGCTGCAAAAAAAATCGTCAATATAAAAAAGTTTACACAACATCGTATAGGATAAGTCACACGACATTGCAACAACATGAAAAATATTACTAGGTCTTATGGTTGGGACATTCCATCCTAATTACAAAGACCACAAAGTGAATTGTTATTATTCTTGATAATATTTAAGTTCTACTAATATATTTTTGTTAATTTTTATTCCTTCATCAAGTTCTTTAACAATTTTTTTTTTTTCAAATTCAAAATTATTACAATTACTTAAAGCCGTGGATATTTTAAAATTTTAAATGTTTTTTGTTTGTTGTGTTATAAATATATTATTATTGAATGACCATTATTATTGAGACTTTTCATTTGTCCTATCTTCAATTCAACTCCCTCATTATGTTAGGAAATGAAGGGTTGTATGTTTGTCTATATATATATATATATATATATATATATAGAGAGAGAGAGAGGCTTCGAATCCGGTGCACCCCCCTAATTATATGATCCTGTGAGATCACTTGATATCCATAGATTGATTCCAAATCAATGGTTGAGATCATGAGATCTCTTAGAATAAAATAAAGATTTATCATTAAGTAAGGGTGTTAACAGTAATTCTACCTAGTGGCCTAATTATGGTTAAAATTATTATGGGAAGCTAAGCACGATTTAAGGGATATTAATACACTAAATATATATGGGGTGATACATCACATGGGAAGGGCAAAAAAAAAACGCGCGAGACATTCCAAGTGTGAAGCCGGACCGGCGAGGCGCACAGACAACATCTACCATCACAGGTGTGTGCATTACAGGTACACGGTTTGTGCGTGTTTTGCTTTTATTATCGTTTGTGAATGTCTTGCGAGTTACGAAGTTTTAACAGTAAAAACCGTCACAAAATATATGTGTGTTTGTGCGTATATATGAGATTGCAAAGAGTGTGAAAATCAGCATATACACCAACCACTTCCGTTTTGGGAGGCTGTTTGGGGATAATGTGGTATGTACCGATGAGTGCGTGGAAGTACAATATGTTGACCAAACTGATGGGTATAATGTGACAAATGTGAATGTGAGCTGCTGTGTATGAATATTAGAAATCGCATCACATATGCGTATGAATGGGGAGAGGTTTTTTTTTTTTTTTTTTTTTTTTTTTTGTCCTCTTTTCCAATTTCCAATTATGGCCGGTTGGTGGTTTCATGGTTACACAAAGAGTATTTATACTTGTGCGTATTGCCTCAATTGCGTTAGTATTGGTTGATGCATGATACTGTAACCAGAGAGGCCGAGTTCGGTTGTGATGGCTGGTGCACGGCCGTATGAAGCCTTGTGCACCACGCCTATCATGAGTCGTCCACAATGTGGTCTTTTATGTAGTGAACTTTGTGTTATTTTGGTTAGTGCATGATAGATTATAGTCTTGTGCACTAAGCCTATAATGAGTTTACATAAATGCGATCACTGTGTATACTTAGCTTTGTTTCAGTGGGTGCATCGTATGTTGTATATGTGTGCATGGTGCCTTAATTCCATGCGAATGTGTCAACTATGTTTCCCACAATAATTTGGTCTTTGTATATACTGAATTTGTGTTATATCGGTTAGCGCACGATAGGGGTGTAAATGAGCTGAGCTGCTCGCGAGTCGCTTGTGAGCGGTTCGGTTAACGCTCGGCTCGAACTCGGTCAAAATCAAGCTCGGCTCGAACTCGAGCAGCTCGTGGATTGAACGAGCACGAGCCGAGCTTAGGTATTGTAGGCTCGTAGCTCGACGAGCCGCTCGCGAGCCTTATAATATATTATATAATATATAATATATAATATAATTATATTATATTTAGTATATAAAAATAATAATTAGGGGAGAGAAATTAAAATACTTTAATAATATTATGTATCGATAAAAGTCATAAAACAGAGTAGTTTAAATTTTAAATCAAACAGGTCAAATTCGAGATCAAAATTGATCTCAAATTCAAGCCTAAACTCGAGCTCGAGCAGCTCGACAATTGTTGAGCTCGAGCTCGAGCATCAGTTCACGAGATCGAACGAGCTCGAGCAGTGTTATCATTAACGAGCACGAGCATGAGCCTACCCAGGCTCGGGCTCGGCTCGGCTCGTTTACACCCCTAGTGCACGATAGTCTATAGTCTTGTGCACTATGCGTATAATGAGTGGCCATAAATGCGATGATTGTGTATACTTAGCTGTGTTTCAGTGGGTGCATCGTATGTTGTATATTCGTGCATGTCGCCTTAATTCCATGCGAATGTGTCAAATATGTCTTTTAATCTGTTAGCCTACGTAGGGACTAACGTAGTACAAAGCGGGTGCGTGATTACTGTTACGGTTTTTAACTCCAGTACTAATAATACGAATCATTACATAGGTGGCATAAGCATGGAAGAAGGAGGGAAAAGCCAACACTGTGTGATGGATGAATCCCAAGATGGTACGAGCATTTGGTTTACGGAATGCGACCCAGCGATAAAACCAGTTGTCGATCAAGTGTTTGATACGTTGGAAGATGACATCGCGTACTACAAGACATATGCATCCGTAACTGGGTTTGATGTGCGCAAGAGTTCCGACATTAAGAACAGGTATGGGATCATCCTCAAGAAAAAACTAGTGTGCAATCGTGAAGGGTATAAGGATGCAAAACCAAACACCACAACAGATCAAAATAACACCACACAAACAAAACGACGACGCCCGTCTAACAGGGTTGGGTGCATGGCGAAAATAGTTTTCAGAAGAAACAGTACAGGACGGTACGTGGTCAAGAAGTTTGAAGAGGGGCACACCCACTGTTTGTGCGAGGAGAGTTACAAACCTTTCCTAAAAGGGAACAGAAAACTAGATATTGGACACCAACAATTCATCGTGAACTGCTCAAAAGTCAATATTGGGGCTAGTAAAAGTCATGACCTGTACGCCGAGATGGTGGGAGGAGTTGAAAACGTGGGAGCGACACAACAGGACTTCAAGAACTATAGAAGGGAGATTTTGGCATACATGCAAGGAGGAGATGCGCAAATGGTAATATCCAAATACCTCGATCTCAAATCGGACTATGACGATATGTATTTCGAATACGAGGCAAACGAGAATGACCAGTTGGCACGTGTTTTCTGGGTAGACGGTATGGCAAGAAAGCAGTATAGTGTTTTCGGAGATGTTGTGTCATTTGATGCTACGTACAAAACTAACAGGTACGCACCTCATTTACAGGCTGCATTAACGTTGGTGCGTGTAGATGGTTTAACGCCTACTGGAGTGCGTGTACGGGCCGTCGGTCTGTGCGTTGCACTGCTACAGATATGAATGGATCAGACGGTTGGTTACATTAAAATGCTAATAAATTTATTGATTAGATATTTCACAGTACACAGCCCTAACTTTAATATTTTCCATACAATATATTCCTATAATTATATTTATTTCACAGTATGAAACCCTGTGCGCTACATGCGTATTAATTAACACGTTTCCTCGTGACCACAGGTACAGTCTCGTGTTCGTCCCATTCACCGGCATAGACCACCATAAAAGATGCGTAACATTCGCAGCAGCACTGATTGCCCGTGAGGATGTCGACTCGTACCGTTGGATACTAAAGAACTTTAGAAACGCAATGGGAAGCACACCACCACTCACAATAACCGACCAAGACCCGACGATGAAGGTTGCTATTGCACAAGAATTCCCAGAAACTCGCCATCGTTACTGTATGTGGCATATAATGTTGAAGGTCACCGATAAAGTGAGTCCTGAATTAGCAAAAAATGAAGCATTCCGAAGAGAGCTGAATGATGTTGTTTGGAATGACAGCTTGACTACCCCCAAATTTGAGGTTGCATGGAAAGAGATTATAGAAAAGTTTGGCTTAATTGAAAATCCATGGCTAAACCGCATGTACGACGAGCGCGCATCGTGGATCCCTGCATGTTTTGAAGATGTTTTTATGGGTGGGTTATTGCGTACAACATCACGCTCTGAAGCAGAGAACCGGATTTTCAGAAGCAACACTAGCAAACATATTTGTGTTTCGGAATTTTTTAACAGGATAGAGAGTTCAATCAGAAAGCAACGCCTAATACAGACCGAGCTAAACGATGCCAGCCTTGCACAGACACCCCCCTACAAAACCCAATTGCGCATCGAGCGAGCGGCAGCGTCAATATATACATTAACTGTGTTTTATGATGTGCAGAAGGAGATATGTGCCGGATGTTTTGATTGCCGTGTCCGTGGAGTGACCCCCGGTGAGGCCGGGAACACATATGAGGTCGAGGATGCGCACGATGTACGATACACGGTGTTCGTTGAACACGGGACAAGGACGACAACCTGCGAGTGCCGAATGTACATCCGGATTGGACTGTTGTGCAGCCATGCATTTGCAGTGTTAATATATGACAGGAACGAGGACATACCCCCCCAACATATCACACCCCGGTGGACACGTACCGCACTAACCACTTCGCCAATCACAACATGCAATGATACGCTCCAGCGTGGCACCCCAAGAGCACGAGGCACCAAAGAAGAAAGTGACGTGCTTAACACAGTGTACAGGTGCATAGCCATGGCGCAAAGAGATCCCACGAAGCTAAAACAAATACGCAATGCGCTAACGGAAATTGAGACCACATGGTGCAACAACGGTGAAGACGACGTGGCCGTAGAGAAAGGGAAACAATCGATCAAAGAGACATTTTGTGGTGCCCCCACACCTGACACAATCACCGTGCATCCGCCCGCAGTATCAAGTACCAAAGGGTCAGGAAAACGAATGAGGACAGCCAAAGAAATCGCAATGAAGGAACAAAATAAGAAGAAGCGAACATGCAAAACATGTGGACTCGCAACCGGACACAACAGTAGAAGCTGCCCACAAAAGTAGAAATAATTTTATATCCGTGAATGCTATTCTGTGCACAACTGTTCTGACATTATTATTGAATTACGAGTTAATAAACATTTTTATTCAATAAACCTTCCATCCCTGGACCCCGAAATACCAACAAACATACTCACATACCAATACAAAGGCAATGCACCTCCCAGTAACCGTAAAAATGAAATTGAAAAAAAAAATTAAAAATTAAAAAAAAAAAACAGTGCGTGACAGCAAACAATGCGTGTGCGTGGGGAATGAGTCAATACTATATTGAGAAATTGAGATTAGCACCACATTGGTTGGCTGACGCAACCTGGATGTCGGACAACTCCCTGCGAAAATACACCCCATGAATTTTGGAAATATAGTTGAACACGAAAAGGTGCGTGAATGTAAATTATGGATGTGCGTAGACAATAAGTGACCGAAAGTAGTAATAGACTGATATGGTTATCATCGGAACGCGCCTGGTGCCATCAGTTTACTAATCAAGCTAATGCATAGCAAATTCCGTACCTATAAATGTTTTTATTTAAAAATAAAAATAAAAAAACAAAAAAAAAAACAAAAAAACAAACCCCGGTGCGTGACTGCAAACTACGCGTGTGCGTACAGAGTGAATTTAAACTTTATCAAGACAGTCAGATTAACAACATATTGTACCGATGATGGACCATGGATGTCGGATAACTTCCTGCGAAATACCCCACATGGATTTCCGAAAAATATTACTGAAAAAAAAAAAAAAACAAAAAGTGCGCGCCTGTAAAGTACGCATGTGCGTATACAACGAGTGTCAGAAAGTATTAATAGAATGATATGGTCATCATCTAAAAGCGTCAGGTCCCATTGGTTACCTAATCAAACAAATGCATGCCAGGCAAGTTTTTTGCATATGGCCGCAAATTTTGGAGGTTAAAAAAAAAAAAAAATCAACGTGAGTGCGTAATACTTCTGAACGCATGTGCATGTAGACTGACATTGACGCATCAGCTAAAAAAATAAATGCAACATGAACAAACATCATTAATACGGAAAAGTTTACATGGAAATTCAAGATAAAAACACCACAGAACAGTGCAATGACGACACGCGTCTAACCCCGCATTATTAGGAAAGGTCGAACAAACGGCAAACAAACAAAAAAAAAAATTAAAAAATTAAAATAACCGTACGCCCATTCAACGGACTGCATCAAACCGAGCTCTTAACACGGGCGACATTTGCGGCTCTATGCGTGTTGCGTTGGAACAACAAAATATCAAACATGAACCTGACACGTAATTCTAATAAGGCACGCGCATCACCCCGACGTAGCCCGCAATCCCATGTAGAATACGGTTGCCCCACATAAGACTCCATGTGACGCATTGCAAACACACCGCAATCGACTTTGTTCTTTGCGTCCCGCCACAATAAACGAACCCTACGAGGCACCAATTTTGACGCCTTCATATATAATGCGAACACCCCCATATCCTCAAAGAAAACGGACAGCAGATCATGCTACAAAAAAAAACTCCAAAAAATTAAAACACAACACCGGGAGCATGTATATCCGCGGGCGGACAAAAAAAGAAAAAAAAATGAAGGCATACACCAAATAAAAGGAACATGCACCGACTGCACCTACCAACACCGTTAAGGTGTGACCATATTTGTCGAGCGACGGATCCTCCGCGGAGGAGTTATCAATGACGTCAAACCGCAGACGCCTGAAATCCACTAAAACGACATAGTAGTGGTGCGCTTGAAGTATGGGGAAAAAAAACTGCAGCACAAAGAAATGCAACAACACCCATTTTAAAAAATGAATAATGTCAAATGCGCATTAACCAAATGGACACAAAAAGTTAACGAACCATGTCTATATCATCCCATGAATTATAAGGCGACAACTTCAACTCGTCCTGCATGCTATCTGTAAACAATTGTAAACGACTTCCACGAGGAGCCGAGACATCAACCACCGTGTACAGCTACAATGTTAAACCCCCGATTAAAAAAATCTAAAGAACGGAACATGGGATATGAATTTATAAAAAAATGACAACAACAGACAAACCGTAGTCATCGTGGAGACGAAAAGCCTAGACGGTTCCCCAGCAACCTTTGACATTTCCCTAAAAGATAACACACAAGTCCACGCATTTAAAATGCCCACCAACACTTCATTACCTTCCACTAGGGAGACGAAGTCGACCCGACGTGCTGACCGACCACGCCAAAGAAACAACACCTCTTCCCTGATTATAAAACCCCGACAGAAAAAAGAAAAATGAAATCACAAGTAAAGTAGGAAATAAAAACAGAAGGTATCACAATTGACATACATGTCAGCGCGCCCCGATCTAGCAATCCAATTGTAAACATCTTGCGCACTAGGACCCTGCACATTTTCCGCGTGTACAACGCGTGAGCTTGTCCACCGTTCGTACGAATTCAAATCAAGAGTCCTCAACGCGCGAACATTATTTAAAGGCTGCCGGGAATGCTTCGCTGGTGCACGGCACGGTTCAGAATCAGCAATGACACTGCCAGGCCGCGTCCCTACACGAATACGCTGCACAGCAAACCGATCCCCAACCACCGTAATGTGTAACAAAAAAATAATAGACCCACATAAAATAAAATATATTGGATAAATGTACACGCCATTATACACCGTACCTCATTAGGGGTGAATGGGGTGCCGGGATCAACATTAACCCCCTCCCGACCAATACGTTTTGTCAAAGCCTGTCCACGAACATCATCGCACGAAGACCCGAAAACACGAGCACCAAGCGAAAGAGTGCTGTGACCACCAACCTACCACCACAAAAACAAAAAAAAAAAAAAAAAAAAAAAAGATGCTGTGTAAACCACACTGTTATACGCACCGACCACCTAGTAAATAAATATGTAAACAATCGAAACGTATCAAGGCACACTTACTGGATGACATGGGGTCGAAGAGCACCCCCGAGGCATTACATTCGTTGACTGTGCGTTATACTCACAAACAATCGCGTCCACCACATCCCAACATTGGGCAGGTAGATCCTGCGACAGACCATCACCCACACACGAAAATTGCTGAGACAACCCAAGACTGAACGATGGACGGAACGCATCATCCTAATAAATGAGAAAACTAGTCATACAAGCTCCACCATATATACAAAACACCATACCTAATTGCACACTGAATGAAGTAACGCAACAATAAAAATATGAAACTAGACAAAACATGTACGCATAACACCAACCATTCACCACCTGCACACACACCGTGCAGTACCAAAAAATATACATAGTTACCCGCATGTCACGGATACAATCGCAAACCAACCAAGTCATCAAAATACACATCAACCCACCACCCCCCTAACATAAAAAAAAAAAAAAAAAAAAACCAACCCCAAAAACATACCATACCACCCACTCCAACCCTAATACCGCCTCCTTTTCCTACGACGGCAAACAACCTTACTTACAGCAACGGGCACACCACCTCCATTCCCCGCCTCGGACGGAGCATCACCAGCAGTCTCAACGCACTGACCCGCATTCCCCGCAACATCTGCCTGCTGCCCGACGGGATCTTGCTGGTCTAACCCCGCATCAGCTTGTGAGACTTCAACGACAGTAGACTTCTGCTGAACAGCACTAACAACCGCATCGACCGTCTCAAAGTTCTCCGGGTTGTCCCAGATATCATCACCGCTCAGCGCAGTAGCCCCCCCCCCCCCCCCCCCAGACCATCAGACGGTGCACCACAGTTGGACCCAAACTGATCAGCAAGCGAGATGATCCTCCGAGCACCTGCAACGACTCTAAGAAAGTCCTCCGTCAGTCCTGTGTCATCACCATGGTGGTCCATAAAGAGCAGCAAATCGTCCATAGCCGCAGCTACAGCATCGGCCTTTTCAGCATAAATCTCGGTCACAGTCTGCAACAAAACACAAGATGGAGGTTATGCAACAATGCATCAACCACAGTATCCCCCCCCTCCCCCACGCACACAGCATGCCAACATCCAAAAATAAGAGAAGGCACACATGCTTATACTACAACGCATCCACCCTCCCCACTTGTACGCACCCACATACGCATCCAAATAATAAACCAAAAACAGACCACATTACCTGCACCGAACCAACATCATTACAACAACACCAAAAAAAAAAAAAAAAAAAAAAGAAAAAAAAATTACAGAACAATATCACATCCCACCCCCCCCCCCAAAGCTAACACGTTTATAACATGACAGTGCATGTCTAACAGAACATCAAATACACAACATTTAAATTATTTCTAACAATCAACAATATCCAATATACTATAACAATATAATAGCATGCTTATACTATACCGCACTCACCCCACCCCTCCCGTACGCACACACAGCTCGCCCCCCCCCCCCCCTAGTAAATCCAAAACAAGCAACATAACCTGCACCGACCCAACATCATTAAAAAAAAAAAAAAAAAAACACGGGAAAATGACACCCTCCCCCCCCCAACAAGGACAGCATATTTATAGCATAACAGTGCATGTCTACCACAATATCCAAAAACCAAAATTTAAATTACCTTTCAAACGTCAACAGCATCCAATATACTACAACAATAATATAACATGCTTATACAATAACGCATTCACCCCGCGCACCCCCATGCACACACATGCTCGTCCAAAATAATAAAACAAGAACAAACAACATAAACTGGGCCAACCCAACATCATTACACCCAAAAAAAAAAAAAAAAAAACAGAACAGTAACATCACCGCCCCCCCCCCCCCCCCTCCAAACAAAGATAGCACACTAATAGCATGACAATGCATGTCTAACAGGATATCCAACATCCAAAAATCAAACTATTTTTAAACCTCAACAAAATCCAATATGCAACCAAGATGGGTAAAACTTAAAAACTAATGCACTAAATTCGTAAAAAATAGTTAAACACCACAGTGCATGACTAACAGAATATCCAATACCCAAAAATTTAAAATA